CCTGGATGCATGTGGTTTTGTGAAGAGCTAGAACAAAGGAATGGCATTGAAAAATGAATCTCTATTTGCTAGATCATGCAGGAAGGACACCTGTTTAAATCTTTAATCATAGACTCCAGGACTATTACACATGAACCACTCCATTAAAATAAAATCTTACCCATATTATATTTTCATCAGACTACATCCCTGCCTCACAGAGATAGGAAGATAATCCCAGCAATTGAGGAGAAGAGAGAAAAGTATAGGTGAGACTTTGAGCTGCTTTTATTTTACTGTACCCATTCCCAGCTGGTTACTCATGTGACTGTACCGAAGGAGCAGAACCCAGAATTGATGCCACAGCTGTATTGCATACAACAGGAACAGCACGATTAGAAAGTGGAATCACACATATGTGTCTGGGTGCATACTGATGTAGTACACAATCTGCAGAAGTCTATAGACCATCTCTCAGCAGATTTAAATCAGAAAATGTCTCTGATTTAAGTTTCTGTTCTTGCTTTCCAGTTGAAATACTACAAGATCAAAATAAATTACACTCTCTACTCTCATGATAAAGGGATACCTGCTTTGGTATCTGTCCAAAGTTGCTGATAAAACCCAGGATGGTGCTCTTAATCAAAGGATCTTTAATGTTGTTGAGGTCCATCTTGTCTCCATAAAAGTAAGGGTGATATGTGTTAACTGCCTCCACTGCAGCTGAGCCGTGTTGCTTGTAGCCAAAAACCAGATCTATCCAGTGATGGAGGTGTGCACTGACATAGTCACTTTCCAGTGCCTGAAACCAAAAGAAAAATAATTAATTCAGTAGAGTGTATCCCTTACAAATGCTTTACCACTTTCCAATCCCTGCTGGAGACTTAAATTCTCTGCAAGTCAGTCTTCACACTTTCAGTTCCTCCAGTACCACCATTCTCGGCACATCCTCACAAATTGTGACCAAAGAGATGAAAGCTGGATCCCCACAGGAAAAAACAGGACAGAGTGCAGGATGCTTGACTTAACAGACGCTAGGAGCAATATCCTCAGAGACAACACAAGACAGGTTCCATAAAGCAAAGTGCAAACAGTCCACCGATCTTGGCGCATCCTTCAGCTTCCAGCACACATTAAAGCCTGTGCTATCATGTCTTCACCAATACCGTTACTGACACAAGATTGTTTAAACGAGCAAAACATTTGTTAGCATTTGGTACCACCACCACCAGCTCTATAGACAAATGACTGGTGAATTTCTATTTGTAGAAAGATGCCTTAGTTACAACTCATGCTGAGTAGCAGAGACTTTATTTGAGAAGATACATATAAACATGGATCAGAAAGGGAGATGACTAGAAGAGTTTTAAGTTGAGTCTGAAGGATACAGCAGGAGAGACTGTATGCCATGAACTAGCAAAGAGAATGCAGGGCTTGCAGTGAAATAGCAAGGGGTGTTGCAAGCCAAGACAGGGAAGGGGTTTTGCAATAGTAGACTTGGGGTGCAGCAGGGCAGGTATATGACAGAAGCTTCAAGACTACCTGGGTTTGATCAACAAACATTTTGCTACCCTCGCAGGGCTTAAGCAGAGACAATCAGAGCACCAGATTTCCTCATCCTGGAAAAACGCAGGATCTGAACTTTTTTCCTCAAAATAAGAAATGCTTAACCCATTTGCCACCCATAGTGACAGGTGTGGGGGTTAATGTGGCCAGAAGAAACAATTACTACTGGAGAAGACTGAGAGAGATGCTGCAAGGCATCCACCCCAATGTGGACTGCCTAGAAAGCTCAATGTAACCATAGTGGAAAACTTGTGCTCGGAAGACCCAGACAGCAAGTTCACCAGCAGTGGACATAAGTCTGAGTTGAACCTTTGCCCACCTCCAGGTTAGCCAGCCTTACCCATAAGGCTTCACTAAATGCTACTGTCCCTGCCATCACCTACCTCATCAAACTTTTGTGCATTCCCAAATGGCCTTGCCCAATGATTCAAGCAGCATTGTTAAGCATTATTAAAAATACTTTCCTATCTCCAAATTATTTGACTGTGCAATACTCCCTGATGCTCAGTTAAAGGTCTCCCAAGCAGACCATCCCACCCAAAGCACAGCAGAAATAAACAAGCTAATGGGATCCAGAACAATGGCTCATTTCACAGAGCAGACAGTTAGCCCAGTGCAGCTGTTTAAATGACCCTGCCCACAGCTATAACGATCACAGGGCAGCTCAGAGAACAAGCACAGCATACAATCTGTCCCCTGCAAACAACAGGAAAACACTTATGAACAGGCTTAGAACTCATCCTCATTAATAAAAGCAGTTAGTCCATGAATTACAAACTGTAAATTTCACCTGGCATCACTGCCAGAGCAAAACAAAGCAACCAACAGAGCTGCAACAGCACAGCCTCCCAGTATTTCGCTGAGCACTATAAGCCCAGCCAGGGAGGGAGAACTTGTAGTCTAAGGAGGAAGAAAATAAATTTCTTTAGTAGACTACATTCCAAACTTACTAAACATGAAACAGGGAGCTACTCAGAGTTTTGTGTCAAGAACAATTCTTTGCTCTCATATTCTTTAAAGCAATAGCTAAACCTCAGAACAGTGTTGACCTGGATCTGTTTAATGCACCAAACTCACTGTGAAGCCTCCTAAAAATGACCATGATACCAGTAACAAGTACATCCAGTCTTGTGGATGATTTCCAAGGAGACAAAAACCCTCATGTTTCAGAATTCCAGATCTTTAACTCTTCACTTTGGGGTTAGACAAACTTTCCCAGGCAGGCTAATCAACTTACTTTCCACAGCAAGATTTCATGCACCCTCCTGTGTAAGACCTAGTACTAGCTATGGTTGAAGAGAGAATAGTGCATTGACTGTACATGAGGTCTGATCAGGTCTGGCAAATCATTAAGAACATGAGTCTATAAATGTGATGTTTCATTTACTAAACTGCTTCTATCTGAGATTTGAATTAATCTGTAAAAGTTGTGTGGCTTTATCAGCCGTGCCAATGTTATCAAATAGTGCAACTCAGTGGAAGCAAGTCTGTAGAACAGAGCAGATGGTAGAGGGGGCCCAGTATCCACATTACGTGCACTGCAGGGGGGTTACTTCAAACTAGATCTAGTCTGCTCCCACAGGCTGAATGTCACCAGCATCTGGAGTGCACAACTGGAGTGCAGCTTTTGGTTTTCTTTCATCCAAAGCAAATCTAGTTCACACAATCTGATATCGCTCTACAATGAGAGCAAAACCATGCTATGCAGAGATGATTGATAGGTTAATTTCCAAACTGCACCCTTACTCTGAAGTACAAGGCAAAAGCAGATGTCCCCTATTGTATCTAAGTGCCTTCGGAGTGCTCACCATCACACAAGCAGTAAGGAGCTCAGCTCAGTACTTCACACTCCGAATAAGCCACAACATAAGAGACAGCATTGCTCCCTACACTTTTCTTTAAAAAACATCAGTGTAAAATTGCAGCAGCTTTCAGGCATCCATGGATTTCTGTCTGTAGCACCTCTGTTAGGGAAGGACAGTGTTGTCTTTCCCATGTTTGGGAAACTGGAGAACAGAGACTACGCAGAAGGTCAAGACTGACTTGGAAGGCCAAAGAGAGAGCATGAGATAGAGCAGAGAAAGTAACCAGAGAGCCCCCAAACCTCCATGCCTTTATTGGAGTCACTGGGGAACGCAAGGGAACTGTTACATGTTTGCCCTCAGTGGCCAAAACCTATTTGCAGTGGGTAGCACTGAGTTGCTTCCCTGCAAGGGAAGGGGTTAGGCACTCCCTAGGCTCAACTCTTCATTTTAGCAAGGACTGTACTTTGAGCAGCAAGCCTGCAGTGCACACAACACTTAGAGAAGGATCTCCTTCCTCATAATAGATGTATCCTCATGTGGTTACGGGCACTGACAAAACCTCAGGTCTCTCTTCCCTTCCACCACCTTTCAGTGTGACCAGAGCTCTGAGCCTCTAAATCACTCTCAAGACAGCTTTAGAGATGTCTGACTCTGTAATACCTATTATTGTGTATGTACAGGAGCTTAAGCACTCTGAACATGGCTCTATCTCCCTGCATCTCAGTTCTTTGGCAAAAGCATTCTCTTCTCTTCCCCTCAAGCTAATAGGTAGTAAACCGACAAGGGACAGAGCCTGACTGAAAAATGGAACCTAGGTTCTGAGGGAAACACTGAATAGTGTTTTCTTTCCAAATTAGAACAAAAAGCCCAACTCTCAAGTTTTCCCACATATTAAAATCCGCCCCCTGCCCCCCCAGCCCAATTCTAAATTTGGAAAAATTACATCCTTTTATTTTAGTAATAATGAAGCTATATACCACACAATATTAGTTATAACAGCTACATCAATAAAATAAAATATTTTTAGTTCAGCCTGTAATCTAATATAAACATTGCAATGAAAAGATAATTTTGAAAAGTTCTAATAACCAAGACAGAAAGTTGAAATTATTTATTGAGATATTTTCTTGTTACTGCTGACACACTCCCATTTCAATCTGACTAGTTTTCTGGTGAAAAGCTCTTCCATATATTTTATTCCCAGGCAGGTCTACTCACAGTGTGCTTATCAGCCCAGTAATACTGGTTTGTGATCTGAGTTACACAGGTAACTGCTACAGAAACACAAGCTAAAACAAAGCACAAGAAGATTAATGTAGCTCCTGCAAAAGGACTGATTAGTTCCTGGATATGCTGTAAATTCAATGTACTGGCTTAGGTTACTAAACTGCTGTGTGGCAGCACACCACTGAGTCAAGCTACTACACCCATGGAGACACTTGAGACCTGCTAATAATAGTAAGCAGCTATTCTCCACACCACATAACTTGGAATGTTGTTAATTCACAAGCTTTTATGTATTGACGCAGGATTCTGGGGGAAAAAGTGGTAGATGACTACTTTTAATCACATTTTCAAAATGATTGAAAACAACATTTTTAATAAGTATATACAAAAGTTATCAATTTCAAAATAGGTAAAGTAGCAGTATGGAAATCTAACTTCTTTTATATATTTTTTAGCATTATTGTTCTGACACAGATTTAAAGTGAAGTGTTCAGGTCATGAATTCGCAATAGAGACTAAAGGGAGCCTCTTAATCAATTAAACCACAAAATGAAATATCTCACTATATACTCAACAGTTCTAAAAAAGAAAAAAAGGCAGGAGTACTGCACAAAAAAGTAGGCAAGCGTAGGCTCAGATCATATCCATGTTCACTCACAGGAGTAACCTGAGCATGTGTGAATGAATCCAGAGTTGAACAGGCTTACTTTCATACTCAGAGTTATTCACAAGCCAAAGTGTTTGCAGCATCAGAAACCTATAGAGACAGCATGGGATGCAGGTGCTACAAAGCACTGACTTGTCTTTGGAATATAATGTCTTAACAACAATAAATTCTTTGCAAGATATGCAGATGATTCACACTACTAGGAGTTTACTCTCTTAAAACTAGTTTAATAGAAGAAAATTTTCTTCAGGATGGATTCGCAGTCCATAGACCAGCTTATAAAGATTTTGTTTGTTTGTTTCTTAAACATGGATAAAAATGGTGTTGCCAAACATGCGACTGAGGCTAGATTACTGACAGCACCCAGGTGGCTGCAGGGAGAAGGAGAAGCAAGAAGAGGTCAGAACAGATAAATCAAATAGATGCGCAGGGTCTCAAGAGGGAAAGGAGAGACACTTCAGGTATGAGGAGTGGAGCTATATAGAAATTCAAAATATAAGGGCATGAGGAAGGAGATTTGACAGTCAATGAAGATAGTCCCCTTCCAGTTGTCTCTGTACTGCTTGAAACAAGGTATCAGGACATCAGAAAGAATGAGATGAAGATTCAAGCGAATGCCCATGAAAAGCATGTAAATGATTTAGTAGTATGGACAATCACAAAAAGTACGGACTCTGAATGCAGCACAGAAGTGCAAAGCAAGGGACATGAAAGTAATGGTAACTTAATGAGAGCATGGTGGTTGCTGTCAATGGTTAAGGGAACAGTGGAGAAAAGAATATTTACAAGACAAGAGTATGACTCTGGCTTGGTTCAAAACAGGAACAAAAAACTTAGGGCAGTCAGCAAGGAGGTCAGAGACAGGATTTAAATCAGCATTTGGAGAGGTCAACTGAAGAAAGGCTTATTTGGAGATATCAAAATAGAGAAGATGGTTGTATCCACAGGTTTGGATACAATCACCTACAAAGAAATTACAGAAGGTGGAAGCTGAACCCCCAAGGGCAGGACCTGCATAGCATAGGAGAGGTGAGAACAACCCACTTAAGCAGAAACTACATGTGTAAAGGTACACATGACAAACCAGGATGATGCAATGCCTTGAAAATCATGGGCTATTTGTTTAATCCCACCAATGCTAACACATACAATCATCACACTACTTGTACACAGCAATAGTCTGCATGCAGTCACAAATACAGGTTGACTCCTTTTGCCAGAGGAAATCTGATGAGATAATGCAGGGGCACTGTAATACAGCCCATTCCCTTTTAAACTCTAACAAAAAGAGAGACCTGCACCAAGATAGTCTGCTGCAAAGTCTGCGTTCAATGCAACAACCTTCACACAGAATTGCCTTTGCACTCACTACTACATAGTGGGCAACATCATACAGAAGTTAAGCTTTTCTATTAATAGATAGCACTAATTGCGCTAAGTGTCAGGACCTTAAAGCTATTTGCTTTCAAATTGCCAAGGTTAACTCCATTAAAGGCAGGAAATCACATTACGTTTTTCCCCCCAAAAATAAAAAACCTGTAGTCCTGGCATGTCTCAGAGATTGAGGTAGATAGTTTAAAGAAACACACAGCTAGCTAGCTACAACATGGAACTGTGTGCATGTAAATGCCATATGCATACATTATGTTATGTTCACATACACTTATGGGCTAAGCTAGGTTCATGCCACAGACCTAGATACAAACCTCACCTGGTCTGGAAAGTTGGCCTTGATTCAGAGTGAATTGTTAGGTAGACAAGTAGACATGCAAAGCTCAGAACCCACATGAACTCTGCAAAGGCAGGATCCATTTGGATCTAACATTTTGGTTCATGACTCTGGCCTTCAGAGCTCCATTTTCAGTGGGATCCAGTTCAGCATTTTGTCACAAATCTTGATAGTCACTGACCTGTCTGTGTAGGAGAATGAATTTATGGGGGTCTCCATCTGCCCAAGGAGGAAGCTGCACATCTCCCAGCACTGTTCCATCCTGCATGCAGCCTGCAGAAATTACAAAGGGAGAATTAAAAACAAGATTCACACACATTCCAAACAGGAACAGCTTTTTCTAAAACACTGAAGTCAATGGAAATTGAGGTGATTTCCACACATGCAGTTTCAGGTTCTACATCAAATATGGTGGCATATAACACTGCAGAACCAATTTCTCCTGGGATTTCTGATCCGGTGATCAAGCACTGAGAAGATGTTCTAGTAACTGTGGCTAATATGGTAAAAATATGCATGTCTTCAGCACAAACCATTTTAACACAGACTGCAAACTCAGACAAGACAAACCTGTTGGCACAACTTTCTTTTTACATATAATCCTGTGGGCCTAACTGCCAGGTATTCCTACTAAAGCAGTCAACGAGAGGGATTTTGTTCTCAAGTCCTTTGCAATCTGATTCCTTTCAGAAGGTGAGCATATGTTCTTAAATCAGAGCTTAGTGTTGTGCAACTGAATGAATTCATATCTAAGTTAAGGCTCAGGGCTGGGACCATAAGTTTCCTTACAGTGTAGCGGTGAACAGATTCAGGTTCTTGGCTTTGCCTATTGTAAAATCTTCCTGTATATTTGCTGTCTGTTGGCAAGATTCTGGTGTCTTTTTTAGGTGCCTCCACTTGATTCCACTCAGGTCAGTCTCTGGATCTTGATTTCAGCCAGGCTCTGTTTCTTGGCCTCCTCTCAGGAAGAAACTATCCCAATTCTTTCTTATGTTTTAACAATCTTCTAACATATTTTTCCCATTCTACTCTTTTCTTATCATGTATCAGTTCACTGGGATCTTAAATACAATTATAGCTAGACCTCAATACCATGGGTTACGTTGCCTTTGCCATCACTAATTTAGGATGATTCTTAAGCTATTTCCCCTCTGCCTTAATTGTTAGCCAACCTGTGTCCACTACAAAAAGCAGCTTTGCATAGCAAATGATGTGAATTTCCTGTAAAGTGAAGTGAATCAGGACTGCCACACCTATTTATGAATACTATTTTTTCTGGATTCTCTCTGACCCTCAATCACTGATGCAGAAAGGTCTAGAGACAGTGTACATTCAGAAGAGATTGTGATGCTGTTTGAGGCCAGGGACAATATGTCAAGTTCATGTGACTTGCACAGAAACTTTTCAAGATGATAGTGAGGACACTTGGCAACTTTAATCACCAGAGACATGAGATTAAAAAAACCCCACCTTTCACCAACACCATTTGACAATGGATCCATCTCCATAAGTCAAATTAATGTATTGTTCATAGGCACACAGATGTATGTATTTGAAAATACCAAATTTTCAAAAGCAGCCAACTAGATTGCCTATATCAAAATCCACATTTGTCTAACAAAATGTGTGATTCCTTTGCACAGTAACTAATAGGAACTACCATCCCTTCTGAGCTGGAAACTTGGTTCTTCTGATGTCATTTAGACATCAGAAGCTTGTATTCTTGTAGCCTTATTTTAATATAAATTGATCTCTCATCACTAGAGAGTCTCATCTGTCTGCATCGTCCAGGGACCAACTCTCAACATGTGATCTGGATCTTTTCCCTTGGCAGGGTGCTGGAGAGTGGAAGGGGAGCACTGAAGTCCCTTCTAGAACTTACCAAGTTCAAAGTGATTTGCATTGGTTAGGAACTCTGGCAAGTAGAAGAATTCAGGGATGAGTTCCCTAACATCACTCATGTTGTCCCTTGATGCCGATTCCCACGTGCTCTTGACACTGTGAAACATCCTGTCTGCAACATCAAAACTCCCGCCCTGTGAAATGGAGACAGACAAAAAGACTGCAGTTCCAACATTGGTTTCTGATGGCAAGAACCACTGCCCTTTC